GGATGTGCTTATTCTATCACTTTTGCTGCATGTATTTTGAGATTGTTGTTAGATATAATACAGTACACATTTAAAATTATTGTATCTTCTTGGTGAATTGACTGACCCTCTTTGTCTCTGGTAATTGTGTATGCTTTCAAGTCTAAATTGTCTGATAACGTAGATGCTCCTGCTTTCTTTTGATCAGTGTTTGCATGGTATATTTTCATTCATCCTCTTACTTTTAAGCTACCTGTATCATTATATTTGAAAAGAGTTGCTTGTAGACAACATATAGTTGGGCCTTCTTTGTTTATTTTGTTCTTTAAATCCATTCTGACAGTCTCAGTCATTTGGTTATGTATTTAGACCATTGACAAATAATGTAATTATTGATGTTTCAATTTAGATCTATTACATTTCTATTTTTTTGTTTGTCCCCTCTGTTTTTCATTATCCTGTTTCCTCTTTCTTGCCTTCTTTTGGCTTATTTGAATGCTTTTTAGTATTGTGATGTTGAATATATCTTTGTATAACATTTTTGTGGATGTTCTATGGATTACAAACTACCCACTTAATTTCTCATAACCTATTTAGAAGCAATACTTTACCACTTCAACTGATATTAGAAACCTCACCTTAATGGTCCCCTTACCCTCCCCCTTTATGCTATATTAGCTTTATTTATTATATCTACACTGAAATCTACATAGTTATCAATTATACCTACATTATTGAAAATTCCTCAGTCAATGTTATATTTTGCTGTGTTTTTCTAATATTTACCATGCTTTTTGAAGCCCATAGAGCAGTATCTCCCCATTCACTTCCTCCCAAGATCTCCAAGAGACCCAAATTGGGGTAGTAAGCAGTGGGAATGAAGACTTGTCTTTCACAGTGGTTTAAAATTCACAATAATATCCGGGACTCCTGGGTGGCTCAGAGGGTTAAGTATCTGCCTTAGGCTCAGGTCGTGATTCCAGGGTTCTGCTTCTCCCTCTCTCTCTGCCTGCCGTTCTCTCCCTCTCTCTTAAATAAATAAATAAAACCTTTTAAAAAATAAATAAAATTCATAATAATAGTATAATTTAAAAGTAACAGAGGTCATTATTAATAAGTTAAACAACACTTTGGGCAGCATCAAATGTCAGTGCCCAGAGAGATTAGAGCATTCAGAGCCTTGGCAGCTTCAGGACACAATGGGAAAATTTTAGAGTAATTCCAGGTTCCACTACTGAACAGGCTTTCAGAGCAGTTTCCCCGATTTACTTAACCTCTCCTAACTTCTTATCATGATCTGAATTATAGGATTAAATAGGTAACTTGAATTCAAGTGTTAAGATTAAAGGAGAAACTACAGGGTGCCTGGCTGGCTCAGTCTTGATCTTGGGGTCTTGAGTTCAAGCCCCCCACTGGGTGTAGAGCCCACTTAAAAAAAAGATTAAAGGAGATTACAATTTAGAATACCACTTGTTTACATTAATTTTATAAACATTAAGTTCGTACCCTCCATATCCTCTTTCCCAGAGAAAACACCTGTTCTGATTGATCCTTTTCTATTTATCATCTTAAAAACCAACAACAATCCACATACCCAATTCTCTTGATCTTTGGTGCAGGATTTCATTTCTATAATCATCATCATCATCATCATCATCACCTTCACCATCACCATCACTGTCACCACCAAGAATGATTGTTGAGTGAGTACCCATGGGGAAGTTTAAATGACCTGTCCCTAACTCCTGGTGGCCCATCAGATACATAAAGGGTCCCTGTGTATATGAAGTGTTCGTTAACCTTCTTTCATTATTGCCCCCCTCGAGTAGCCTTTTCAGACTTTTTCTTGCTGAATCACCTGCAACCCCACTCCCCAGTGGAATATGACATTTTTAAGACCACAAATGTAGTTTATCTGTTTGTATACTGTGGTCCTTTGAAGGTTCACAGACCATTGTAATATGTATGAAAATTCTACCCCCAAGAACCAATCTTGAGCCCTCTGGGGGGCAGTGTCACCTCTGTTGAGAATGCATGATATGTTGTAATTAGGAGAAAAGCTGGAATCCCATTCTTTCTTCATCTGTCTCTGGATCCATACTAGAAAATCTATCACATCTAAATGCCCAGCCTTGAGGGACCATCCACGGAGTCACACCCTGTGTTTATGCAGCACAGCTTGTGTACCTACTCCTGAAGAGACCTGTAGACCTTCAACTTCTTCCCTCTCTGAGAGAATACTTCCTTCTCCGTGTCCTCGCAGGCCTTTTCCTCCCTACAAGGTACAAGCAGCCCAATCATTTCCATAAATTTAAGTTTTCACAAAGGATGAAAGAAACACAGGCTTCAGACAGCTTCTGCTTCCTGTCCCCTCACCAATGTCCCCTGAAGCAGGGGAAAGAGGCACCCAGCCTGGCTCCCTGCAGCAAGGAGGGTAAACACTAGGAGAATAGAGATTAACCACCTCAACAGAATGTGTCCTGATACCTTTGCTAAAACTTGCCACCAGCAACTAACAGTGCCCAGACTGCCAGGTCCCATCCCTGACTCTAGCAGTGGGCATGGGGAGCAATCTCTTTGTCATTTGTGTCTGTGCTTAGGAGCCTGTGCTTTGGAATAACATACATCTGTGAAGAGAGAATAGTGATACCTCACTAGCAGGGCTATTGTGAGATTAAATCCCACCACTAGCATGAAGAACCTGGATCTTGGCCCCTCAAAACAGTCTTTTCCATAAATAGTAACTATCTTTCCTCTTTGAAACAGGGAATTGGTCCTGACCTTCCCTGTCACCCAAGGCCCCTTAACCAGATTGTACCTCAGAATCACTTTGGGGATCCTTTTCTAAACCCTCACACGAATTTCCCTTGTTGGTAAAAATAAGACTTCCGTATTAAGGCCATTCAAATCATTAAGTCATAGTAATATGGGCCTCAGAAAATGAATATGCTCATTTGACAGATTCATAGACTCCTCACCTAGGGTTGCCAGATTTAGCAAATAATGTACAGGATGACCAGTTGAACTTGAATTTCAGATAAACAAAGTGACGTTGCATGTGAAATACACAAAAATTATTTGTCAGTTATCTATAATTCAAATTTAACTTGGTGTCCTGATTTTATCTGGCACAAGTAAGACACTGTGGAGGAGAACCAAGGTGCCCCAGTGAACAGCTCCAGCTGAATCTCCAGCAACAATGAACACCAATGGCCCACGTGAGTGATTGGAAGTCCCAGCTGAGTGGAGCCTCCAGATGACTGCAGCCCCGGGTGACAAATATCACATGGAGCAGAGAACAACCTAGCTGAGCCCAGTCAGCCCACAGAATCCTGAGGGATAAAAATTGGCTATTGGTGGTGTTTGTTAAACAGAAATGGATATCCTAAACGTGCTTTTGGTGAACTCTCTTTTTTTTTTGTGGTCTATAATCATTGGATATGACAGGGATTTGGTTATTCTTGAAAGTTTGGTAGGACTTAGTTATAATTTTGGCTATGGTTAGTGTGTGAGTTTAAGTGTGGGTATAGATTTTGAACATTTCCTCAATTCCTTCTTGAAGGGATTTCCAACAAAAATTTTCATGATATATGATTTTCATCCTTGGAATTTAGAAATTTATTCCAATCCCCTTCTACAAGAAGAGACTCCCCTGCAATCATGCTTGTCAAGGAAATGATAGGGTAATGCTTCAAGCTGCTCCCTGAGACACATGGAGAACCATATCCTCAGAAGGTGGCTTGGTGAATACGTAATTAGAACAAGGACTATTTAATCATCTCAAGAAGTTTTCTCAAAGAAACTGTCCTGAAATACTTTTTCCTGCTACAGAGATAGCCTCGCAAGGAAGCCGCTTTCTTGAATACACATAGAACTCCTTCATCAGACAGCAGATACATATGCATTGCAGTCCTTGCCCTTTCTGACTGTCCTTGTGCAGCACTGCTGGATAGTAATGTTTGCCCAGTTCTGGGGTTCATTAATAGGAAGCCTAATTCCCTTGTGGCAAATCTAAGCCACATTCTCCAATATCATCTTTATAAAAAATAGATATACTTTTCTCCTTATTATTCTTATCACATTTTTAGGTGGTTTAGAACCTAGATATGGAGAAGGGATGTATTTTGGGGATCCCTTAAAGGCCCAAGCATTTTGGAACAAGACCAAAGGAACACTTGGGGAGACAAGACACAGAAAAGGGAAGAAGAGCTGGGAGTCTATTTTTAGACCCATCCTTGAGGGCCGAGGAAAATATGTGCTCCATAAGGGCAGCTTGCTACAAGAGTTTTGAAGGGAGAGGGCTTGGGCTGTGCAACCCATTTGTCCTTCCAACCTCATTAATCAGGTAAGTGATTCTCTTGAGATGGAAGCAAGTGTGTTTGGTTACAGATGTCCCTACACCTGGAAGAAAATATGGGAAATGGAGGATAAGAATTCTCCAGGAAAAACAATGCATGGTACAACTGACTAGGTGTCTGCCTACTAACTGACTGTAATAGTTTAGGCCTGCCTCCCTGAAATTACTCTGAGATTTCTGAAATGACATTATTTGCATATGTATCTAGATCATTCAGTCACATTATTATAGACAATCTTTCAGTTTTCTGTCACAGATGGCTAAGGGCTTAGCGTGGCCCTGATTTTCATGTTTACCCTCCAAGGTCTAAATTATCTTCAAGAACCCTAGGATATCTCCCTGGGGTTCTGGTACTGATAATATTCCCCCAGTGTTTCTTCAAAAGAAGCAAAATTCCTGAAGACAGGGACATGCTTTGTTCCATCAATTAGGGGAGAGTTCCACGAATTGTTCGAGACCAAGTCTGGTGCCTCTAATTACTATGCTTTCTCACGTGGTGGCCTGAAGAGTCAGGCGCTAGCTTGCAGCTATGGGCGAGGGGGTGGAGTGTGTAGAAGCACGCAGGTGTGGGGACTAGTCCACGCTTCGCGGTTGCCATAGAAACCTAACGTCAATATGGCGACCGTGACGACTTTTTAATAGAGACGGACGTGCCCTCGATAGAACAACAGGGTTCCACCTTCAGGTGTTTGGGGCTCTGCTGAAAGTGTGGGTCCCCGCGGTGGGGGCTGAACCGCCCTGAGGTGTGAGCAGACAAAGGGTTCCAGATCCAAGCTGATTCTTTCCCGCGTTGGGAGTCGGTGCCATGGCTGTCTCGTAGGTAAAACCATTGGGATCTCTCCCGGCCCCAATTAGTGTGGGTTCTGCTCGAGGGGGTGTCCTGTAGATGCTTTCCTTTAAAGACAGGGGCGCAGGAGGTAAGACAAATAACGACCCTGAGCCCCAGCTTTCCCGTCTGTAAAATGGGGATGAGAAAGCTTCACCCACAGGATCGCTGAGAACAGTGATACACATGAGCAAACCTATGGCCCGGTGGTTACTGTGGGATCATGAATGTCTGTGTGAATTCAGGCCACTTCTTACTCCTTTTCACCTTTGATGTTGGAGGATAAACTAGGAAAGGAGGAGAAAGTGGCTCTGTGAGAAGCCCATTAAAATGTGTTTGTTATGATCACAATGCAGTTTGTATCAGTGTCATTGCCACTAACCCAGTGACTGGCATGGTGCTGAGCACATACTTAGGCCAGTAAATCATAGTGATCGCTGGATCTGTCTCTCCCTGTGCAGCTCTTCATGCAACTCATATCAGGTGCTTGAAGAAGGCAGATTCTGAGGATCTGTGTCCTGATGGCCTCAGAAGCTTCTAACTCCAGATTCAAGGGCAGCAGTCCTCAGGAAACCCCGACACTTCACTCTCCTGGTGGAAATTGATGCCTGGCTCAAGTGAGTGCATAGATCTGAACAAAAGCATGATGTGGAATAGCTCTTGTGAGGTTCACAAACTAGTCTAAAAATAGAGAGCTATTTTGATCACATCACCGCAGAAGAGGTTTAGCAGGTGGAATTTTATTCCTTCAGTGTCTACGGGCTGTGTAGTAACTCCTGAGGTTCATCTTAGAGAAGCCTTTTTTTTTTGCTGAAAAATAATTGTCTAGTTGGTGAAGGAAGTTGCTCTTTTTTTTCAAAAATTTTTTTAAAGATTCTATTTATTTATTTGACAGAGAGAGACACAATGAGAGAGCGAGCACAAGCAGCGGGGGTGGGAGAAGCAGGCTTCCCGCTGAGCAGGGAGCCCGATGTGGGGCTCCATCCCAGGACCCTGGGATCATGACCTGAGCTGAAGGCAGACGCTTAATGACTGAGCCACCTAGGCGCCCCTTTTTTCAAATTTTTATTTAAATTCTAGTTGTTAACATATAGTGTAGTATTGATTTCAAGAATAGAATTTAGAATTTAATTCATCACTTAGATACAACACCCAGTGCTCATCACATCACATGCCCTCCTTAATACCCATCACCCATATAGCCCATCCCCCACTCACCTCCCTCCAGCAACCCTCAGTTTGTTCTCTATCATTAAGAGTCTTTTATGGTTTGCTTCCCTCTCTTTTTTTCCCTTCCCCTACACTCATCTCTTTTGTTTCTTAAATTCCACATATGAGCGAAATCATATGGTATTTGTCTTTCTCTCACTGACTTATTTCACTTAGCATAATACACTGTAGCTCCATCCATGTCATTGCAAATGGCAAGATTTCATTCTTTTTGATGGCTGAGCAATATTCCGTTGTATATATGCGCCACATTTTCTTTATCCGTTCATCAGTTGATGGACACTTGGTTTCTTTCCATAGTTTGGCTATTGTTGATAATGCTGCTATAAACATCGGGGTGCATGTACCCCTTTGAATCAGTATTTTTGTAGCCTTTGGATAAATACCTAGTAGTGCAATTGCTAGATCTCAGGGTAGTTCGATTTTTAACATCTTGAGGAACCTCCAAACTGTTTTCCAGAGTTTGCATTCCCACCAACAGTGTAAGAGGGTTCCCCTTTCTCTGCATCCTCGCCAATATCTGTTGTTTCCTGTGTTGTTAATTTTAGCCATTCTGACTGGTGCGAAGTGATAGCTCATTTTAGTTTTGAGTTGCATTTTCCTGATGATGAGTGATGTTGAGCATCTTTTCATGTGTGTGTTGGCCATCTGAATGTCTTCTTTGGAAAAATGTTTATTCATGTCTTTTGCCCATTTCTTAACTGGATTATTTGTTTTTTGGGTATTGAATTTGATAAGTTCTTTATAGATTTTGGATACTAACCCTTTATCCAATATGTCATTTGCAAATATCTTCTTCCATTCTGCAGGCTGCCTTTAGTTTTGTTGATTGTTTCCTTCACTTTAGCTTTTTATCTTGATGAAGTCTTATTAGTTCATTTTTGCTCTTGTTTCCCTTGCCTATGGAGATGTGTCTAGTGAGAAGTTGCTACAGCCAAAGTCAAAGAGGTTGCTGCCTGTGTCCTCTAGGATTCTGATAATTCCCTGTCTTACATTTAGGTCTTTCATCCATTTTGAACTTATTTTTGTGTATGGTGTAAGAAAGTGGTCTAGTTTCATTCTTCTGCATGTAGCTGTCCAGTTTTCCCAACACCATTTGTTGAAGAGATTTTTTCCATTGGATAGTCTTTCTTTGTCGAAGATTAGTTGACCATATAGTTGTAGGTCGAAGTTGGTCTTTAACATGCGTTTGCAATAAATATAAACATATTTTTCTCATCATATAAATAATAATTGGTAATTCCCATGTACCTCATAGATGGGTGTGGAAATGTGCAGTTGTTAGATCTTCATAGCAATTTGACATTGTAATATAGATTTTCCCCCCCTGGTGGCTATGGTTTTTTTCCCATTATATAATGACATTTTTTAATGCACCAGAAGCCAGAAATTTTCCAAGTGTTTAAAATGTCAGTGACTAGAACATAATATTTTATTTTTTTGTGTGTGTTTTGTTTTGTTTTTGAGAGAGAGAGAGCGCAAACGGGGAGGGGCAGAGAGGGAGAGAAAGAATCTTAAGCAGGCTCCACTCCTAGGACAGAGCCTGACACGGGGCTCAATCTCACGACCCTGAGATCATGAACTGAGCCAAAATCAAGAGTTATATGCTTAACAGACTGAGCCACCCAGGTGACCCTGTTTTGTTTTTTAAGTAGGCTCCAAACCCAATGGTGGGGCTTGAACTCACCACCCTAAGATCAAGAGTTGCATGCTTCACCAACTGAGCCAGCCAGGAGCCCCTAGAAATTAATATTTTAAAAATTATTTGTTACCCTAGAGTTTGCCCTATTATAATGATATGCAGCCATGCCATGTTCCCTAAAATAACCAGTTACTCTTAGATATCATTATGATCATTTTCCTAATATATATTCTTTTCTGTATTTTGGGAGGAAATGGACATCAACTTTCCCTAAATATTTGGATACATTTCATTGGAAGTGATTATTTCTCTTTTGGTTCTATGTACCATGGACCAATTTGACAAGACATAGTGTGGATCTTTTAATACTGTGAGAACATAATGGTGGGAATCTTTCATCTAATTAATTGTATCACAGAATTATGAATATATAAATATTCTACAAATACTTAATTCAGGTATGATTAACATGCAATATACTATACATATTTAAAATTTTTGCTTTAGTAAGTTTTAATATGTATGTGCCTGTAAATCCAATACTACAGTCAGGATAATGAACATATCCATCACCTTAAAAAGCTTCTTCATACCCCATTGTAGTGCTCCATCCATCTCTCTCCAGTATTTCTGTCCTTGTTACTCTACCCCATTCCCAGACAACCACTGATCTTCTGTCACTATGGATTAATTTTTTTCCCTATAATTTTATATGAATGGAATCATATATTGTGTATTCTTTTTTGCCAATCTTCTTTCCTTCAACCTAATTATTTCTAGATTTATCCGTTTGTTACATGTGTTAATATTTCCTTCTTTTTGCCTAATATTCTGCTTTATGGATATACCACAATTTGTTCTATCTGTTGACCTGGTAATGGATATTTGGATTATTTTCAGTCTTATAAATAAAGCTGCTATGAATATTTGGGTATAAGTCTTTGCTTGGACATATGTTTTCTTTCTCTAATACTGAGCTGTATTTACTTAAAGAATTTGTAAAAATAACTTTGTAGGAGTGCTAAACTGTTTTTCCAACACGGTTGTGCAATGTTTCATTGTCACCAGTAGTGTATGAGAGTTCCATCCTCCACAACTCTGTCAGCACTTGGTATGGTCACTGTTTTTATTTTAGCCATTCTCAGAGGGGTGTAGTGGGATTACATTTCCCTAATGATTAATGATGTTCAACATCTTTTCATTTACTCATTTGACATTTGTATTCCTTCTTTGGTGGAGCATCTTTTCAAATCTTTTGCCCACTTATTTACTGGAGTGTCTTTTTCTTTCTTTCTTTCTTTCTTTCTTTCTTTCTTTCTTTCTTTCTTTTTTTAAAGATCTTATTTATTTATTTTTCAGAGAGAGAGAGAGAGAGAGAGACAACATACAAGCAGGGGGAGTGGCAGGCAGAGGGAGAAGCAGGCTCCCTGCTGAGCAAGGAGCCCGATGCAGGACTCAATCCCAGGACCCTGGTATCATGACCTGAGCCAAAGGAAGACGCTTAACCGACTGAGCCACCCAGGTGTCCCTGGAGTGTCTGTTTTCTTATTGATTTTGCAAGGTTTTTTTATTCTGGATACAAGTCCTTTATCAGAGATAAGATTTGCAAATATTTCCTTGTAGTCAGAAGCTTGTCTTTTAATTCTCTCAACAGTGTCTTTGAAAGAACAGAAGTTTTTATTTTTGAGGATTTCTAGTTTCTAATTTTTCATTTATGGTTTTGATTTTGCTTTTGATGTCATATCTAGGAAATCTTCACCTAACCTAAGGCCACAAGAATTTTTTCTTGTGTTTTCTTCTAGAAGTTTTATAGTTTTACCTCTTGTACTTTTGTTAGTGATTCATTTTGAGTTGACGTTTGCATATGGTACAATATATGGATCACCATTTATGTTTGTGTATATGGATACATACTTGTCCCAGAACCATTTGTTGAAACGACTATCCTTTCTTCACTGAATTGCCTTGGTAGGTTTGTCGAAAACCAGTTATCTATATATGTGTGGGTATTTGTGGACTCTTCATTTTGTTCCTTTGATATACATTTCTACCTTTGTCCCAATATTACACTATATTGATTACTGTAGATTCATAATGAGTCTAGAAATAAGGTAGTGCTTAT